TATGAAAATAGCTTACTAAGAAAACAGAACTGACAAGTCCGAAGGTGGCCATCAAGAGCTGGAGAATGTAAAACTTCATTTTTCACCCCTTTTTGAACCACAGCCTAACAGGTAAAGTGAATTGTAGAAGGTCAGTTCATAAAGCAAATGAGATGCAGAAAGTTATGAGGAAATTATGAAAAGGAAAAGATGCCACCACATGGTTTCCTAAATGCCTACAAATACATGGGGAGAAAGACTATAACAAGATGATAATCCTCTTCCGTATAAAAAGAAGAATCACAGAAGTTTACTTGCAGTATGACCAGAACCCTAAGCTTTGTCAATATTTTAATCTATTCTCAAAGCAAGCCAGAAGGTACCAGGTTCTATGTAAAGAAGTTAGTTCCCTCTTCTGTCAGAAAAAATGAGGCAGGTCTGCCTCCTTTGGCACAGAACTGAAATCAGCAAGAGCAATGCTAACTTAAATATTCCAAAAGTTAAAAGTAAAAAGCTACTTTAGATACTCAGGAATCTCCTCTAGTTTGAAAAGCAACTTCAGACTAAAAGGGAGCGTTTATCTCCTTAACTGCTCAACAGTTCAACACGTTAGCCCAAATAGAATCAATTCTAAGATTCTCCATTTATTCCCACAGACATTAACTAAACTGGGTTTCAATTACTGATGGCCACAGTCATCAGACGTGCATTAGAGCTCTATCTTGCCAGCAAAGACAATTCATTAGATTTCCAAAGTCTGACTCGAACTGAAGCTTAGCATGAAAACACAAAGAGCCCGCATTAGACAGAAGTTTACCAAGCCCTGTATCCCATCTGCTAAAGGAACAAACAGGAAAGTTAAAAACAGGGAACAACAGTGTGACTATTTGTTTTGATCAATGGACACGTCAAGACTTGCTGGATTAGACCCCGTTCTTTATGAAGTTTTGGTGGACTGTCCTGTCATGAATTTTGTTTTAAGATCTCTCCACATGTCTAGTTTTCTTTGTTGACTCCTTTTGCACTTTCCTAATTCTCCTATGTCTTGCCTGAAATGGGCTGGTCAAAACTGCACACGAAGGTGCACTATGTTTAAAGGCATCTTTATTTTGAACTCTCATTCTGAACTTTCTATTCGTTGTATTGAGTACCACTGAGGATTGTGTGAATGTATTCTTAAGAGACATCCACACCGTCTCCTAAAACATTTTTTGACTGGTAAAACTAAATTCAGCACCCAGCATGGCACATCTGAGTTTCTTCTTCCGTTTTATAATAAACTAATAAACCCCTTTGCACTTTTTTTGCTGACTGCAGGCTTCATCCACTCATTACTCAGTCACTTTTCCAGATTTCTTCTGAATAATTATGATCTGAACACAGAACTCACTCTCTCGGTGACCGATGTTCACCATACAACAAAAAAACGCCTTTAGTCTTAGCTCTTCTTTCCTAACCATTAAAAAGATATAAATACATAACAGGACCTTCCTTTTTATTCTGACAGCCCAATTTGTTTATAAGTATTCAATAAGAAACCCTGTCAGAAATCTTTGAAAATTCATGTTCAGGTACAGTATTATCACTTAGATCACCGTTATCCAGGCACTCAACGTACTCTTTGAAATGTATACTGTATGACAGGTCTAAGTAATGTACAGTCATATCACAGTGCGCTGTCTTACACATTACTAATTTTAGTACAACAGACATAAAAGAAGCTTGGTTGTGTATGCATGTATGCCTGTAAGAATACATAATCAGGCACTTCATAACTGTAAGTGATGAAAAGTATGCTAATATCTAAGAAATATCTTCATCCATTGCCTTACCTGACTTTTTTGTAGATTAGCTTCTTCTAAGAGCTGTATGCAATCTTGGACTTTTGCAACAGCATTATACTTCTCCCTTTCTAGATTAGCGTACTTTGTCTGAAGCTCTCTGATTTGTTTCTCCAGGGCTGTTCTTTCTGTTCTCAGCTGTTCAGCATCTTGGACTGTGACACGTAATCTACAAGACAGTAATAATTTTACTTGTTTAACAATAAGATGCTTAACTAAGACACTAATTCTTCCAAACTAAACAAATAGGAAGTATTTATTCGTAAGTCACCAAAACTGCATTTCAGGTTTTGTGCTTGGTTTTGGAAAGTGATTTTGAGTTTAATATTCATCTGAGTCCTAGAAAGAAACAGAACTAAAGGAGTTAACTCAGATATCTAATCTCAGAAGATGCTTAGAAGAATGTTGCTATCCTGGGATACATCACTGAAAATGTTCTATATTAAAACAGAATAGAACAGCCCCAGAAGGAATAAAGTTTTCCTCTGTGGAGGAAATGGAATAATTGGATGTGGGCAATGAAGTTGCAGCTATACCATTAGAACAAGAAAACCACTGGTAATTTTACAACAGCTCAGAAATTCTTATTGTTTAATTATGATTGTCAGTATTGGCAGGCACGAGAAAGGGCAAGAGAGTCTCGGAGGCATCCTCAAAAACATCTCAGAAAGCTCCACAAGTGCCACTGGTTCAATAAAGTGCACAGTTCTAAATATCCACCGTGAGCACTTTGGCAATGCTTGGGCTGCCTTTTCAAGCAGACACGCTTTTTTACTTTCTAACATGTTTGTAATAAAACACAGAAAGACAACGACTCTATTTTTGTAGAACCAAAGCACAACTTTTGCAGAACCAAAAACTAACAGAAAATAATAAAGCTAGCTAATTCCTTAAGTCCTTCTAAAATAAACTGAAGAGCCTCCACAGTGCTTAGGCCAGTGATCTCCATTAAGCAGAGGCAGCCACACAAGTCTGTGCAACTCCTTGAGGCAGTACTTGACCACATAGTCACAAGGTTAGTTATTTAGTTTCTAGAGGTATTGGAGAGTCTGCTAATCACACTCACAAGGTTGCGACCAAGAAGGCAAGATGAACAGTCACACAATTATTTCAGTAAGCAATTTACGCATTCTTCTTAGCTATCAGGTCATTTGACTAATGTTAATAATTCAACAACTGTTGGTGACACTTGAATCAAAATCACTGTGCTCAGCTAAGTGTGATATCCTTGGAAAGCCAAGGGGGGTGAGGTGGGTGGGAATTCCACACAAGAACCCGATCAAGTCTTAGATCTTCCAGAAGATAGTGCTGGAATTAAAGTTCTACTCCTTAGCAGGTATTCAAACTACTTTTGAAACTAGCATTTATTGTTAAGAAATGTGCTTTAACAGTTTTATTATCTAGTCATTTTAGTACAAAAATTGCTGAACTAAGACCTGAAACCAAATCTTATTTAACATGGAAAGAAATATCTGTATTCACCTCAAAACCAGCTAGTTTACATAAACATTTTCAAATTTCAGTGTGAATGTTTTTCTTTAGAACTCCACCTAAAGCTAACAAGAATTGAAGAACTAGAATTTATGCACTAGAATGAAAAATAAATGCCTCATTTTTTCTCCATTACAGTCAATTTATCATTTTAAATACAGTGAAATCAGAAGCTGTTCTGAAAGGTTGTGGAATAGATAAAGAAGACAGACAGCAGCCAAGCATAAGATATCCGTATTTTGAGAAACCAGAACTTCTCAGAAACACAAAACCAAGAGGCTGAAAAAAAGGTAATATTTTATCTCACTTGCACGTATTCTGTTATTAACACCCAATGAGCTATCTTTACCTTGCTTCTAATTGTTTTATACTAGACTGCATTTGCTGCAAGCATTTGTCAGATGCTGTTTCTCTTTGCTGGGCAGATACCACATCTTCTTCCTAGAAAGGAATACATAATAATAATACATATTATCCAGACATCATCTGAGCTTCCCTGAACAAAACATAAATATACTAACATAGAACAAGTTAGAGAACAAGTTGCAATTAATTTAATGTCAGCATTCCGATAACTGACTAGTCATTCAATTGCAACAGAAAATTATTCCTGTCTCTAGAATACCTTTCTCTCCAACTGGCCTTGAAGCTTCTCCATCAATCTGGTCATTTCATCAACCTTAGCATTTGCTGTCCGCCCATCTAATTTGGCTTGCCTGTATAAAGAAAACAGTCTATGAATTATATTTCAGCTATTATAGGGGAAAAAAAAAATGACTCCACTACAACTTTGTTGAAATAGCTGTGAAGGGCAGTCAGATTTCATAATACTGTTCTCCTACTGGGCAGGAAAGATTCCCGCCTTCTTCTCCTTCTTACTATGTGGCACAGGGACAGAGGAATACCAAATTCATTAAACAATTGTCCTGTGGAAATTACTTCTTACAGCCAGCCTAACGAGAAAGTGTATGTGTTGATTAAATATTTGGGAGGACTAGGCAATCAAAAACTTTAAGTGATTCAATAACTTAAATATAATTGGCCACAGATGCTTAATAGAACACTTTTTCAGAATTAGATTTCAGTTTTTAAAGCAATTTGATTAGGAATTAAAAAAAAAAATTAACCACTTCTGAAGAGTTTAACTAATGTGCTTTGTAATCTGAAGAGGTTTGGTGAGCTCAAACAGAAAAGGGAAAAAGAAAAAAAAAGACTACTTAATGAATCGGACCTCCTCCTCAGTAGAAAAGCTTATTGAAATGAGCAACACTCCTACTCCTCTGATTTGGGAACAGGAAGACAGAGAGAGTCCACCTGAGGTGTAACCCAGTTATTCAGGCTACATATTAAAAGGCTAAATTTTAAGACCAATGATTGAATGTATGATAAAGTTAAAAAAGAGCAGACATATTAGATAAGCTAATGCAAACTGGAGCATTAATAGCCACAAAAGAAGCTAGAAAATGTTTAATACTGTTAAGAATCAACTTCCAGCAAAAATTCCTCATAGAAATAATAATTTCGATTCAACAGCATAAAAGATGACCATATTATATGAGAATCTTAAGCAAAATATACTTGATCCCAGCAATTCTACAGCAAATACTTAATTTCAGCTTAATTAATCAGAAAAGCTAATTTTGTTATAATTTCTTAAAAAGCCAAAGCAAAGATAAAAATGTTATTCCCAGAAACATGGTTCTCATTGCAGGTCCAAAACTTTGATCTTACTCTATCTGAATCACACACCTTTCTCCTACAAAAAGTACTGCTATGTTTACGAGGACATCAAGTTGCTTCCCAAAAAATATTTAAAATATGCTGTAAACCAAAACCTCAAAACACAGCATAAGAAGGGGAAAAATAAGAAAAACATAAAGAGGTCATAAAACACAGAACAGCTTAAGTATTAAAAATGCATTTTAATGACCAGATTCAGATCAAATTCAGAGGTGTGTGTTTAACAGGCAACAAATTGATTCTAAAGACACAGTTTTTATTCTTCATTGTGCAATATATCTTTAACACAATCTCGGCAACTTCTCTCTGTTTAAAATCTTTAAGATTCTGAAATGCAGCTACCTGCCCTACCAACCCCAAGTTCCCATCCTAGCAATGCCAACAGAGCTTTGAAACGCTAAAGCACTAATAAATGTTTTAATAAAATTTCTAGTATATAAGTGAAATCTGTTCAAACCTCCATTCTCTACAAACATACATCCAATATTACACTGTCTCTATGCATGGCAGATTATAACCCTCTAATAGCTAATGTAGTAGTATGTAAATATTATGTAAATAGTACAGTGTAACTGTACATTTTCTATTGAGTTTATGTTAACACTGGTGAGAAGCAACAGAAAATGTACAGTTACACTGTACTATTATGTTAACACTGGTGAGAAGCAATGACTCGGATCTCAAATACTTCTTAGCAGTTTTTGCCCACATTTCAATTTTTTATTTTGGGAAAGGTCAGCTTCTAAGATAAAGAACAAAAGTTTATATAATCCTGAAAATAACTTCCAGCAGAACTCTTTAATTTTGTCATCTTTGTCCCACATTACTTGCTAAAACTTAATCTCGCAGTCTTCCTTTAGGCATACATATTGGAGACACAGGATCACAACACATCAGGAGCATGTTTAAAGTGCTTTATGGCTACATGTGACAGATTGTACACTTCGTCATATATTAATCTTGAAATACCTAAAATTTATTAACATACATTTATAAGCTTAGGAGTATCTAAACCTCCAAAATTACACTCAATCTAGGCCATACAAACCTAAATCAAACCTAAATTCCTTTACATGTGAGTTGGTTTTTTTAAAAATCTACTTTTCCACTCCAGACTTGGTACTTTCACCATCAATCAACGTAAATCTATTAAAAACATCCAAAGGATTAGAATAGTCCGCAATATATGCTATATAATCCATCCAAACTACATCTATGTAACTTCATGTTAGAGAAACAACTAGTGAAAATATTGAGACTTCTCTGAGAATCACTGCACGCTTACTTTGGAACTACGTAGAGCTGTGGTCATTAGCTTTGTGAGTGTAACATGTTTTTAGGGTTGCAAGAAATTTTAGCTGACCTGAGAGGAACATAAGTGTAATCAGTGCCTGTAATTAGAGACAGAAAATTCCTCCAAGAGCTTCTTAGCCCAAAACTGAGAACACTATGGGGAGAGTAACGACGACACAGGTTGCTCACGATGATTAAACAGTTACGAAGAGACAACAGCTTGAAAGGAAACATGAAAACTTGTGATTATGGGTGCAATACCTTACCATGACAGCCCAGGCCTGAGAGAAGCCACCCCACCAGCCCCCAGGAGTAGCCTGCACCCAGACTGATAGCCCAGGGCAAAATAACGGGGACCAACGTATCAGAAGCACTCAAGGGGTGCTTTCTCAGCAGGGCACAGCTAGCAGACCTCAGGGAGCAGCACAAGTAAGTACACATAACGCTGGAGCACCCACACCTCCAGCAGGAGGGGTGTGCAGATGGGAGAACAAACACTCCCCAAAAAGGGAGTATCTGTGCACATACATTTAACCCATGCTTCCCATCAGAGAGGGTGTGTGACCTATACGAGCGCAAGCAAGAACGACTGTGTGAGATCAGTACTTCATGGGATCAATTACAGAAGGCTGTTTATAGATTTGTGTTTATTTATTAACATATTGCAAGTGCCTAGTATCATGCTTTACCTGTTACATTGTTACTATTGATCATTAAGGTATAGGGCACTGATTGTCCATTTATTGATTAATGGCATGCAGTGAACTCCTTTGAGTGACTTAAACCACATGTGTTGGGCTATCTTGCCCACCTAGAACATAATAAATCAGAAATCTAGTGTTCTGAAATGAGAAGGAAGATGACTACTCCAGCCCTGGGGATACTTAGATGGAAGTCTAAATTCACTCACAATTTCATTATTCATAAACCAGCACCTAATCAAAAATATGCATATATATTTGGGCATGTGTGAGTAGAAGTCCAGAGCAAGATGATTCACTATCTCTCAGTCCGTCCCAGGGACTTCTACCTTTTAATATACCTTCTTCCTGAAGCAGTAGTTTAAGCAGAAAACATGCACTTCCCTTCTACTATCCATGCTCATTGCCATATAGATAGTTATACAGACCCTTGCACGTATGCGGGTCTATGCATCTAAAGAGTTTGGCCATTTTGGTTGTCACACCATATTCTAAATTATTGGACCAAAACGGTATCATTAAAGAATTGCGTATAACTCTAATGATGAAACCTAAAAAGGAGTTTCCTTTGAAAAAATGAAATAAAGATGAGACCAAATGAAATCATGACATCTGTGATTTTGACAAAACCAAAAGGAAATCATGAGAAAAGGAAATTCTGACAAAAAACACTCAACTGGCTGCTCAACCACAACCGGAATGATTTTAAGTTTGGGTGTTTGATTTTTGTTTGGGGTTTTTTTTTTTTTTTGCATCAAAACCACTGACTGCAGTAGTAAACTGAATGTTGACAGCATTTATTGAATGTCTAAAATAGGTTCAGTTAATGCTAGTTGCTTTCATCCCCACTTATTACATGAGTCAATGTGAGCATGTCAATGCAGGATTTACATAAGAATGAGATATCAAAAGAGTAATTCAATACTGATACCCTCTGCAAAGAAAGAAATTGCAAAAAACTAGGGATATTAAAATGTTGTTCTTTCCCTTTTAAGAATTAAATAGTAGCATGCACAAGCAAATTGCTTGTGGTGACCAACTTTGGAAATACTTTATTTTAGCAAATACCCTGAATACCACCTTAGTATTTGATTGCTTGTCACAACATTTTCCTTCTCCAAAACACACTATTTTTGAAAATAGTTTTTCCATGGGAAAATCTTGGCTAATAAAAATGAGAGGTGCTAACAGGTACCTCAAAAACACATCTTCAGTATTGAGGTAACTTGGTTACAAGTTCTGGTACTAAGTTTATTGTACAAAGGAAACAAAAATAAACATTGCTTACAACAAAAAATTCTTCCAGTAAGTAAACCATAACATATCAAAGCAGGGGATGAAAGCTTAGTACTAAAAACAGCTAAGTTTTATTGCTTTAACAGCAAGAAAGTTTGGATACAACCAACTTTGTTGAATATTTATTAACCAATTAAAAAAATTGGTCTCTTTCTCAATGACCAATATTTAATACTAATGAATCTCTTCATTCACTCTAAACCTGTATCTTTTGCTGTGGGTATTGTGACACAGTAACTTTATCTATGAATATTACAACTAGATTAAACAGATGCAGAAATTTGTATAACACAATCTTTACAGCACTTAGCATTACAACAGATACCAGTTGCTCTTCATGTAATATTTTGTATGGGTTTGGAAGAGAGGGGAGGGAATGCCTAATGCAGCCATTCTTTCTTGAAGGGATAAAATCAGTATCAGCACATCTTCAGCCAACCTCAGTTTCTAAATACCAGCATTACCTGCAAAAGCTGCATACAAACTTGAGTGCATGAACACACATGCATGCACAAACATACACAGCCATATTTAACTGTTTACATCAAAATGGAATTTTTTTTTTACCATTTTGGGGGTAACGTTCTCTAAAATCAAAAGATGAAATTAACTAAAACATCACAGCAGTCCAACCATACTAAATATTTTAATCACAGTATCAAAGGAAATTGCAGACACTAGAATCAAAGGAAAATGTAATAATTAACCCAAATTTTAAGTGCACTATAAATTTTAAGCTTACAAACTTAAAGGTTTCTTTTAAAAAGCTTATTTAAAGCTTTAGGAAATACTATAGAAAAAATACCACTGGTTGATAATAAATCCATTTCCTTGTTATTGTCAGTCTGCAAATCCACCGTTTACTGAAATTTTAGTTTGACCTCAACCATCACTAATTAGAAGAGTTAACAGATACAGTAAACTGGCATTGAACAGACTTTGGCTGCAAATACAAGTAATTGTGAAGTTGTGTTGCAGGCATTTTTCTCATTTTCCTTGATATACTTCAGGAATCTAATTAACGCTTCTCTTACCTCTGAGTTCCAAAGAGCCAATGGTTTAGAGCTCTTTATTGAGAAAGAGTGAATGAAATTTTTTTCAAGAACATTGAAACTTGAAACTACTTTGAATATTCAAATTTCAGATCAGTAATGAGTAATTAGGTAACTAGATTTTGAGTAAATTGTATTCCAATGCAAACCTATCTTCAGAGTCAATTTCATTGTGATACTGACACTTTATTCCTTTTCAATCCAAGGTCAAACATTGACTATTTCAGGAAACAGCTGAAGCAAACAACACTAACTGGAAACACCCTACCCTAACACTAACAATGCACACACTTCTAACAAACTTAAGAGGTATGAACTGAAACCATTGTAACTATCCCTATCAAGTCAGTTTGCAGTACAACCAAGGCCCACGATACAGCAGCAGGTTAGAAAAAGCTACAGAAAAGATATTAAATATTTTTTAAATGCCTGGTTTATACCTCAGTTGTTTTCGTAGCTGCTCTAGTTCCACATTCTGTTCTGTTACAGTTTTCAGAAACTGTTGATTGCTCTGCAAAATAAGGAGATTTTTAACATGTTCTTTATTGTACTGGAAAAGTTATATATTCAGAATTGTTATAGGGCATTTCTATAGAATACAATTGTCATAATATAATAGAAATAGTCAATAAGGTCTAACACTGCGGCGGGTCTCCAAGTGCCAAGGTTTAGGTAGAGTATTTTAAAAAGGCAAATTCAGAGGATTAGTCCTCCCCTTCTTTCCCCATATTTTGGTAGCATAAGAACTTTGAGATGAAAATTGTAATAGCTTAGACCAACCATCTGCATTCCCATCAAGTTTAGGTGTCTAGAATGCCTTGTCACAATGAGTACCACAGTAGACCACATATTGCTGGAAAGAATTCCTTTGTTTTAGAGACAGGAAACAATGAACAACCACTACTCCATTTTTTCCTACACCAGCCACAGTGCTGGAGGTGTCCTTCAACTGCCTTCTCATTTGAAAATCATTTCATGTTTTTGTCACCCTAGTAGCCTTTGAGATCTTACACATACCTTGCATCGAGATATTAGCGATGACCACAACTGCAGGCATTCAAGATGCTACTGTATTGTGGTCTTAGGCACAACATATTCCTTTTCCCCCTCTGCTAATAATTGCTAACATCATTCTTCCTTTTCTGACTGTTGCTAAGAATTGTTTTCAGGCACTTCCTACTTCTAAAATACATATTCTGAGTGGTTAGTTAATTTCAAGACCATCGGAGTACCCAAAGTGAGAGCTCCCTCTTGCCCCTATGTATTATTTTGCTTTTATTACTACCAAGGAAACATCAGATAAAATTAACTCAACATCATGAGATCTTTCTGCAAATTTCTGCAGTTTACTTCAGTTTTCACTGCCCTTAATAGTTTAACATCAGTAGTGAACGCTGTTGCCTCAATACTGAATCTCATTTCCTGAACATTTATAAATATGCTGAACAACTCTAACCTGAGCACATCTAGGAAACAGCTGTTTTACCACAATAAAAAACCTCACTAATTACTCAGTATCTTCACTTCCTATTGTTCAGTTTGTTAGTTCAAGAAAGGGCATGTTTATCCCATGACATCTTTATGCCCTTGGAAACAGACTTTGCCAAATGTTTTTTGGATAACAAACAAATGATTACCTTTATCTTAACATTGTCTGTTTCATCTCTTTCAAAGTGTTCACATATTTCACACTCTCCTCTCCACATCATCTCTTTCCAATTTTATGATTTAAAGCATTCAGTGATTCTGTTTTTTTGAGGTACCTACTCCTTCCAAATCCTCCGCAAAACTGCTGTAAAAGCTTGAGATTGTTTTCAGACAGCAACCTCCCAGTAACTCTAAAGTATCTATCTTTAGACAACAATTAATTTTGACACCACCACTGACTACATAAGGCAAAAGCTCCTTGAGTGCATTATTTGGCTTTTATTAATACTCATGAAATAGGTTGTAAACAGGACAACTGCTTGCAAGATACAGTTCTGTAGTAACCTGCAATATACTAAACATGGGTAAGAGCTCAATTGGAGTATTGTACCGTTTCTAGCACCACACTTCAAGAACAATGACACAACTGGAAATAATTTAAAGGTGAGCAAGAAGAATAATTAGACATCTCAAAAACACTGTCAAAGAACATTTAAAGACTTGACTTGCTTGAACAGAATAGAAAAAATGGGGAAAATGGAAACGATGGCAATAAAAAAAGTTTTCAGTAACAGAGGCACTGTGACAAAACGTAGGAATCTTTCCTTCATACCTACAATATTTCACACCAAAGGAACAGGCTTATATTTTAACAAGAGGTCAGATGTGAGAAAAAAAAAAGGTGTGATAAAGTGATAAAGACAGAAGAGAGCAGACTGCCTAGAGCAGGTTCGGAGTCTTTTTGCACTACGAGTATCCAAGACAAACATTAATCAAAAATCACACAGGAATCATGTCTTTCAGAGAAGCAGCAGCTCAGCCACATACTTCACGAAGTCTTTCACCTTGATGTTTCTACCATATTAAAATTGTTTGTCAATCCTGAAAGTCCTAGGCTAAAGCTTAGAGCCTAAGAAGTCTCACAATCCAAGGATATGGATGAAGCACTAGAAGATTATTAGAGCTCAGAAAAATCCCTGAAAAGGTCAATGAAAGACACCGAAGCCAGCAGTGCCAAACTAGGAATCGATAAACATAGGCTAGCTCTGCCACATCTGATGACTATGAGGTCATCATTTAAATATATTTTTCCTTTGTGAAGGTGGTTTTGAATGCATGACTGAAGTACACTCACTACATACTGAAATTCTGAGTGGAAGCTTACCACTGACTTCTTGAAGAAAGAGCTCACATAATATTAAGAGCAAACCTCTCAGCCACCCAGACCTGGTGTCTGGAGTTCAGGAAAAAAGCCATTGCTAATTGACTTCTGACTGGTTCCTAGAGAAGTCTGCAAATCTCAGCAGTACAATTTCTCTTTCAACCAGGTATGTATGAAGACTTTTTACTTTTCTTCTATACTTTGAGAATCCAGTAGGAAAAAGATACTAGGTCACTGTTCAGAAGGTTTTACTTACCAACTCTATTTTCTCATTGGCTATATGCAGTTGCCGAGTCAACTGTTGAAAGCCAGTCAGTTGATCCTAAAAAGACAATTCAGAACTTGTTGTAATCGTTATCATAAGGAGCATACAATTAGAGAGTTTCATAGTCAACTGAAAACACATTCCAAAAACATTTATACATGTTGCAGGAAATTCAACATGCCTTTGTAGATTTTAATTAGATTGCTTTTAGCTGTTGACCTAGGAATCTGGAAAATGAGATTTGCTACTGAAAAAGGCATCTGAATTTCACTTAGTTACAAATTGCCTCCTTCCAAAACTCATACACACTTACTATCAAAATATGAAAGCATACATGAGTAGTGCCTTTAAACAGCCACACAGACTACGATGCCACTATAAGCATTTTGCTAAGGACGGTAGCAGACATGTACCCCTTAATTAAAAAATGCCTGTATGGACACGTTTAATTTGCTCTTTGCCATATAGGATGTCTTGTGTCCATACGAAAAAAATTGTTCAATTAAACCCTTGAGTCCTTGGATGTGTCCTAGGAAAACTAGCACAACACAAAAATCATCTGCAGCGCGCCAAATGTCTTCAGAGCATAGAGAAGACTCAAGTCCCTGAGCTGGAATACCTACTAATTGCGCTGTGTTTATCTAACAGTCTCAAGGTCAAATATATGGCAGAAACCTATTCCAACAACTCCCTTATTTACTATCTCCGACCCTTACAACAATACCCTCTCTCATCTTTGCTTTCTGTCAATTCTTATTCTAATTGATCTTCCCTATTTCTATTTACTATAGAATAGCTATTTCCTGCTCCTCCATTAAAAGCAAAGCTTAAAATACAAAAGCTCGTTTAACCAAAAAGCCATTTTCTGTGGGAGACCAATAATATTTAAGAATAAAAGGCAGCTCAACCTCATTCTTGTTACAATGGCATTAAAATCTACTAAGAATTTAGTTACCAATGAAGAGTGGAATCTGACAGCCCTAAACCCTCCAACAGCTACCAACGACTCTGTATGCTCTACTATGCAGATGTTACCAGTAAGTGACAATGCAACCCAAGAAATAATCTAACAGAAGGGACAGGAGCAAAAAGTTAGAACAACATGTAGATAAGAGAGTCCTTGTAACTACTGCTTGAAATAATTATGAAACTTGACAGAGCACAATAGCTGTACAGATATTTTTCCTGTTTCTCAGAAAAGAGCATATTTCTGAGGGGACCTTAATACCACAAATGAACAAAAAATCAGTAAGAAAAATTTCTGTTATGTAGGTGAGCTGTAACTGTGCCCACAAGTCTACTACTTGAAAATGGAAAGGAAATGTCAAAAATTTTGTAGTATCTCTTTACAGACCTAGAAATTTCTGTAGCAAGGTACACACAGGCATGAAGTTTCTATTAGTTCTTCACACACTGAGCATCTTTCTATAGCTCATCAGGGCAAAACAGCTTTTCTGAGCTAAGATTTCTTGAAAGGCTTTCCCTAGAAACAGCAGAAGAGAAACAGGCTGCTAAACACAAGCTAGCATTAGAAGAATACCGGTGGACTTGATTTTTCACCTGTTTACACATGCTTTACTGAATGACAACAGGAAACGCAGACTACTTTTCCCACTACCCCACTGTGATCTTACAGACAAAATTCAGGATTCAAAGACAGGAGAAAACATGAAAAACTTCCACCTTTGAACTCAAATCTTTAGCAGCTTTTTCAGATGTTAAACTCTACTGAAGATTTCCAACCATGCAATTCAAACAATTATTTATATGCACGTATATATATATGCACTAAGACTCAGACTCAGCGCATTTCCAAAGTTCCTGCCCGTATATTTGAAACAAAGAATTTTTCTAGTGGTAACAGTGCATTAGGCTGATGAATCAATGACCACATCTGACCACTCAACTTCAGATGATTATTATGGAAAAATAATTAACAGTACAGGTAGAACCCCGCACTTCAATTTGACTACACACAGACCCAGAATCTCTACAGTATAGAAAGATATTCCAAAATTAAAGATATAAGTGAAAATTACTTTCTGCTTTTGCCTTTCAGCCACGTGAATCTGCGTTTCAGTCATGCGTTCCTGGTACTGCTGCTGGAGGCGATCGTGCTCCTCTAATACAGTCTGCCAGAGCTCTATTGCTTGTTCTTTTTCCTGTTACAGAACAATGGTTTGTTTAGAATATTCTATTACAGCACAGTTACCTTAACCTATCATTCTCTAAAAAGAGAAGTCTTGACTTCTATTTTGAAGAAATGTCAGTTTCTGTACTTTTCCTCTGCACATATTACAACTATACAGACAAAATACCAAATTCAGATGCAGAAAAACAGAGGCTTACAAGTTCAAATTCCACCTTGTCCTGGTTTGAGGCCTAAACCATGACACATCTACAAGTGAACAGCAAGTTTTCCAGACTCTTTATAAAGCTCAAACTTTTACAGGTATCTACTGTAGCCCTACAGTATATATAATATTCAAATACCAAAATTCAGCTTTCAATTTAACTTCAACTTAATCATACACAACAGGATTGATACATCATTGTAGTAAGCTCAACAAAATTTACTTATCTTTTCAGATTAAAGTATTATTTTCTATATCCCACATATATCCTCATGTCACATTACAATGTTTTTGCTTAAAATTACAAGCTACTACAACAACTTGAATTGAACAAAGTATTTCATTAACTTCCTGGTCAGGAATTCAATATAAAGATCAAGTCAGGTGGGTAGAATGACAGGCAAAAGTTAACAGTAAAAACTTATATGAATCTAGGGAATAATTTCCTTCAGGTCTTTAAGTTGAAAGTGTAAGTACTTGTTTCTTTAGCTACAGAAAGTCAAGAAGGCCTCAAAATGGTCTCAAGGAACTTTGAACAAATGAACTCTAAACCAAGAAATAAACCAACTTCGCCTAATCTACCAAGGCACAACAAGAGAAATAAAACAGTACAAATGTTTCATCTCACACACTTGATTTGTCAGTTGTAGTTGTTCTTGAAGGTTTCTCACTATGCCTTCATCTGCAGGAATATCAGTTCCCAGAGGCACGAAAGGAAGAGCCTCCAGTTGCTTCTGAAGAACCTCTTTCAACTCTGCATGCAGCCTGAAATTCAAAGAACTAAGTTCAGCAAGGTAGTTCTTTAACATGGATTTTTTTTTTTTTTAACAATGGAAGTATCCTGTACCTTCAATCTGTACACACTATTTACTTCTAAGTCATATTTAAATCTTATTTTCTGGAAACATGATAGTTCAAAATAGCTTAATATCTAGTTCTTCTAGTGATATGGTTAAATCTCCCAAACTGAGTGCTGTAATCTATATTAAGCACTTAAAGACTTTAACATTCAGCTCCCGAGTATGAAATCTTCAACTATTAAGTAGATCCAGGAGACTTCAAGGTCCTAGAAAAAAACTGTTTAATGTTTAGAAATCAATAAAAACAGCAGTAATAATAGGGTAACGCAATTATTTACCTTTCGTTTTCCTTGGTGACTTGTTCAAATTTTAGTCTCATCTTGCTCATTTGTGCCTAGAACAAAAACGTGCAAGAGTAAGCACTCATTTAAGTGACAAAAACTTTGGTAATCCTTTCATCTTTTAATTTTGAGTGATACTGTAAAAGATGGACAATTTCATTCAGCATAATAAAGAAGAAAGTGACTTTCATTTACTGTAAGGAAAGTCACAGGATGTCGCTAAAATTTAACAGCTAAGTCCTGTTATATCTAAGCATTTAGAATTTATGAACATTAAACTTACCTTTTGGAACTCTTGTAGCTCTTATAAATTAATCCTAATCAACTGAAGTTCTTTTAGGGATACAGTGGCTAACTGATCATTTATGCAGTAAGCACTTGAGAAAAGAGTTTAGGAATTAACTGAGAAGAAACTTGAGTTACATGAGTCAAATGGACTGTTTTATTAACTAAATAGTGCAACAAACCCATAGTGCTTCTATCGCCTTCTGAAATCAGACAAGCTTGAAGACTGTATTTGCAGAATCTTTATGATGGACAGATCAAACAAATTAAGTGCATTAAACTAAAACCAGAGTATAACTTCTGCATGTAGGTCACAAGTAAAAACTGCTTTCTCTACACCACAGGTTTTAGTTATTAAACATATCACTTTGCTTTCCAGCGATCATATAAAGCATTAAAAAGTTTCATTTTTCCGTGGTTGAAAGGAGGACAGTGCCCTCCACCTCAGCCTCTACGATAATAAACATTTAAAGAATTATTTGAATCTGTAGAATTATTAAGAACGAAGAAGGCTTGGTGCACCTATGCTTGCAGGACTGAGCTAGACTGCATGGCCAAGATCAGACCTGGGAGGAAAGAGGCAAACAGCTGCCTCATCTCAATATCACCTAGAAAAATACCTGCAACCATATCAGAATTATCTAGAGAAATAAAACACACGCGTTTCATTTTACAACAGTACTTCTCCAAACACACAGTAATCTGTGCAATTTGGACAATCTCCAGACCTTTTCATAGGAAGCTCTCCATTCCTTCATTTGGGGCAGACTGCAGTCCAGCAAGTTTGCTAAGCATAGCACAAGCATACTTTCCTTTATTGACAAAAACTAACAGCCTAGATATTAATACTATAAAATACTATGAATATATAGCCTGAAATGTCAGGAACATCCATACCTGATAAAGCTGCAGCTGTTCTCTCATTTCTTCCAGGTGTTTATCATACTCTGTGATTAGAGTTGACAAGCTAAGAAGTTGAAAAACATGCTTAGAATAAATTTTGTAAGTGCCAAAACATTGTTCTGATAATTAACTAGTTCTAAAGAATTCTTAATGTAGAGAACAGAACAGTCACTTTCTCTTTATTTCCAAGCTCAACATTCACCAGAATCAAATGAACAAATTTAATTACTACTTTTAAAGTATGATCACTAACAGCAGTTTCCCTGTATAACAGAACTAGAACATGGGACATTATAAGCGAGCATTAATATTGCATACATAGGATCTCAAATGACTGAAGACTAGACTTTGTTACTGCTTTCACATGCAACCATGAAGTGGCCTATAAGGCAATGTAAAATAATGTAGTTCTACTTATATACTTTTTCCTTCCTAGTTTTTTTTGTAATTGATAGTAATTCTCTGAAAATTCTGTATTAGTCTAGCGTGATAATGCCTTAAAAGCTAACAAGAAAGGATAGGTCATTTTTAAGAAGTGACAATGATCATTAAACAATTTACTAATAGGCAATTGTTAGCTGAAGATTGTCAAACAAGCATTTTTAAAAACACCCACCTGACCTCAACAGACAGCAGTTAACTGTGTTATCAAGATAAGTACAATCTTACACGCCCTTTGTTTATTATTTTAAGATTTAGAGAATTCCTTCATCTCTCATCCTTTATTTTACAGATTGTGGAAGAAAAATCATATTTAACTTAGTGAATAAACAGAATAGTATCTAAAAACAACTGCTACAGAAACACTTTTCCAGACTCCATTCTCAATTTCTGAGAGCTGTGAACCTAAGACCAGGTTCACCTGTATATTTACACTTTTAAAAGTACATGACAAATTCTTTTGAATAATTTGTAGTATTCCCACTTATCACTTGTAATCAGGTACCTTTGGTCTGTCATCCTGGATCCTGATACACCGTCACCACCAGGGACATTTTTCTGCAAAGGTATACTTTATATATTAGTACTTGCACATGACTGCATGCAGTTTTAAATTTTTATATGGAACCCAACACTGTTGTTCTGCCCGTACTGTAATCATACACAATATCCCACATGATCACTTCCAGTTGTACGTTCAAAAATCCTTAAGTGCTGGTCCAATTTGAATTTTTTTTTCCTGGAGATGCTCTGATATAAAGCACAATTGCATCTAAGGGGAATCATCTTGCTCATAAAAGAACAATCATAAGTTGGTGTACATGCCAAGTTCATCTCCATGCATCTCAGCATCAGGAAAGTGCTGATGCCCTCACTTCTGCACAGACTTTCAGACAGGCTTATGGTACCAGCACAAAACGTTATCTCAACACGAGACCAATCTCTTAGAAAAGTTTACAAAAGTGAAGAAGTCTACTGAAGTAGAAATCAAGCATTCTTTCAGGGAGATGTCCTGCATATGACAAAATTTTGAAAGCAAACCAAAAATACCAGATTTCACTGTTATGACAGTTTTATTCTGCTGTCGCTGCTTGGAAAAACAAGCAACTCCACAGTTGTGTGACAGATCCAAGCAAGGCCAGGCCACATTGAGTGGGTTGTGCCCCATGTATGCAAAGATGTTTGTCACAAAACCTCATCACAAAAATTCTTACTACTTCCATCCCCAAGTTCACATACCTGCTCAGCGGTAGCTCTCAGTATCTCATCTGTTTCATACTGCCCAAGTGCCATATTTAGCCTCTGATCTGAAAAATACAAAGTTTGAGAATCATTGCCACAACGTGGGCCATTATCTACAGAAACCTGACTGGCAGTCAGAAATGTGTTTAACACTGTAGTGCTCTGAAGGCACACAACACGCTTCATGAAATTCTTCCATTTAGCACAATTATTTTAGGACTTGAAAAAGCCTACAAAGACCGCATAATAATAATGAATTCAATTTCTTTCATATTCCTTCTGTTTTCTTTTAGAAATTTAAAAAAAATGAAGTTTCTGCCTAGAACGCCTACACGTCTTAATGATTAATGAGGTCTAAGTGCAACAAATCACATTGTGTGTCCAACTCAATTAGCTCTTGTTGGGAACTCAACCCTTCAGTTGTCAATAAACTTTCAACAAACTTAAGTCAAGAAAGCTTCACTGAGAAATGGATCTGAGCACTCAGGTATATCCAGAGGAAAGCCAAAACAGAATGAAGAAATGCAGTCTGTCAGTATCTGCTTTCTCTGAAAAAAGCAAAGCAGAGTGAGTAATGAGATTTCACACTGCGGAGCTGGGAACACCAACTAAGGCATCACTCTCCTTTACTCATCTAACTTTGGCCATTGGGATTTCAGAGACCACTTGTACTAGAAATGAAAGAACCAGCAGAAGGTTGGAAGGGAGAAATAACAGCTCTTTCCACTTGTTCATGGAGTGTTCGTTGATCTAACAAAACCATACTATAACCAGCTGGTCAAAGAAGATAGTTATCCTGCTGTATTCAGCACTGGTCCAACCCCACCTCCAGTACTGTGTGCAGTTCTGGGCCTCACAGTTTAAGAAGGATGTGAAGGTCCTCAAAGGCGTCCAGAGGAGGGCAACAAAGCTGGTGAAAGGGCTGGAAGGAATGTCCTATGAAGAGCGGCTAAGGACCCTGTGTTTGTCTAGTTTGTGAAAAAGGAGGCTGAGGGGCAACCTCATTGCTCTCTACAGCTTCCTGAGGAGGGCAAGTGGAGAGGGAGGTGCTGAGCTCTTCTCCCTGGTACCCAGTGATAGCATGCATGGGAACGGTTCAAAGCTGTGCCGGGGAAGTTCAGGCTGGACATTAGGAAGTATTTCTTTACCAAGAACATAGTCAAACAAACACTGGAATAGGCTTCCTAGAGAGGTGGTCAGTACGCCAAGGCTGCCAGTGTTTATTTGGACAATGCCTTTAACAACATGCTTTAACTTTTGGTCAGCCCTGAATTAGTCAGGCAGTTGGACTAGATGATCGTTGTAGGTCCCTTCCAACTGAAATATCCTATATTATAAGAATCCAACTGACATCTTTGTAATTGGAATGGGTAAGGGAGAAAAAGAAAGTCAGGAAGGTAATGCATGCATTTTGATTTAAAACAATTTCATGCCTATTTTTCTTGATACACATCCCATGGTTCTTTTTCTGGTTCTAACCTTCTAAAGGAGGAAATAGGAAAAAGACAGAAGGGATAGAAAGGAGGTAACAGTAAAAGGACGCCAAGGAACAGGAAGCAGAAAGCAGCTGCCCTCCCCAGCCAAGGCAGTCTGCAGACATAAGAGGCCAGAGGTGCAAACCAGATGAATTATTATTTGTAAGGCTGGCTGCTGATACCGCAAAAAGCATCCGAGTAAAACTCAATTTATAACTCATCAGTGCCGGAGACTAGCATTTCATTCTGAGAAGCTTCTTTACAGCTACATATTTAACACAACAAATATTTATTCTACAAAGCTAAATATAATAGCACTTAGAGAATCTCTTTGTGTATTACACACATTCAGCATTTTAAAACTTTGTTTTCACATTCATGAAACAAGACACATCAATCCATACATGAGACTTACAGTAGGCCTCAAATAACTTACATCTAAGCTGGCACACAAGCCAACTTCAAATTTGTTATTTGGCACCTTTCAAAATGTATCAAGTTTTTTGAAGAGAGAATTAAACTCCTCAATAGAAAAGGCAACTTCTACCACTTCACAGTGAATGTAGTCTCAGCTCTATTTAGACCCTACAGATGTATAAAATAAGCAACTACAGCCAGACAAATTAAATACCTATGAAAAAAATCAAATACTGATATTTGAAAACCCACAATTTGTTCACATCACAGTATAATGAATGCTCATGCAAAGCTCAATAAAGATACGGGCTTTTGAGCCGGGATGATGCTGTTGGCTCAGACAGAAAGTTTTCTGCTACTGAAGTCCTTGAAACAAGAGCTGGTCTTCCACCGTCAGCCAAGTGAAGTTTTGATTTGTGTGACACACAGCCACAGCACTTTATGCACCGTGATCTTGTCCCACTCCCTGCCGCGCTATCAAGTTTTCCTGCAACACTAATTAGTGACAGGGGCAGTAACATGCTTGGGACAACACATCAAACCCTTCCCTATTTATAGGAGTATAAACTGTGCAGGAGCAATTTTTGCTTACTTTTCGGTAAGTAATTAAAGTGTTCTCTGATTCAGTCATATTAAACTTATATCAAAATTATCAAAGTTGTAACAAAGAACACTTAATTGAAAATACTGCTTTTACTCTGTAAAGCAAATTTTATGAGTAACTGGAGAGACCGGTTTTTTTTGCCTTTCAGCTGTAAGCAAAGCATAGGAAACGCAGTTTCTTCTTAACTAGAGAAAAGAGGCATTATGACAAAAAATGCATGTGGTTTTGGCTATTATCTTCATTACCAGCTTTTAAATATGAGTCTCCAGGCAACTACAAAATAGTTTTGATGCTATTACTCACTACAGCAAACACGAGAGCTATGGAATATACATCTTCATTGCTACAAGCGTGGGCACAAGGCCTCCTCCTCCTCCGCTCCCTCCTTCCAACGGCGCCGCGGCTCCCCCCCGGGCCGGGCCGACC